GTTTTTAGGAGCTCAGCCTCTGGGCCTGAATCTGGCCCTGGCCCTAGAAGCGTGTACCTGGCCACAAAACGGACAACAGTACACCCGTTAGAAAAACAGCAGCAAATAAATAAAATAAAGACTATAAAAATAATCTGAAGCTGGCGTTTTTCTGATGCAGGCCCAAGTAAAAATGCCATAGGGCCTTCAGGTTGCGGTGACGCGACCTGGGGGCCCTATTCCAACCTCGGGTCCCGTGAGGGGCCCGTGTGTAGGCTTTCAGCATGTAACACAGGGGGAGGAGGAGGGGGAAGAGACGGGGGGAGAGAGGGGAGGGGGAGGGGGAAGGCGGGAGGAGGAGGGGGAAGAGACGGGGGGAGAGAGGGGAGGGGGAGGGGGAAGGCGGGGTGAGAGAGGGGAGGGAGAGAGCCAGGAACAACAGCAAAAACAGCAAGAACGGCAACAATAGGAAGAACCCCAGCAACGATGACGACAATGATGACAACAACAACAGTGACAGGAGCGACATCAACAACAACAACAAGAATGATAACGACAATAAAGAAAGCACAGACGATAGTGAAAATATACGACCACCACCAGTAGCGAGAAGGAAAAGACCCAAGGCCAAGTGGGCTAGCTCAGTTGGTTGAGCACATAAGCGGTACACAGGAGATCATGGGTTCCATTCCCCACGGCATCCATTCGATTCCCCACGACCCCCCGTGCGGTATACTTCAGGTTGACCGAATGAGAAAGTCGGCTTGTCCCTCCTGGCCGGTTGTGGAAGTATGCAAGTCTATGTTTCCAGCTCGCGCCAGGTTTGAGGAGCCTGAGAACTGTTCCCCGCACAGAACAGCCCGCAGGATGCTGAGGTGAAAATCTGGAGGCTGGGAATCCCCAGCCTTCCCTGCTAAGCTAGCAGTGTAGGGTAGGTAGTGGGAGGCATATTGAGAGAAGATTATAGGTTAGTTTTTTTTTAATTAAAAAAACAACAACAACGAAGAGACCAGTAAGAAGACCAGAAAAGAAACAAGAACAAATATAAACCCGATGAAATCTGTGACCACCACCACCAGCTGGAGTAGCAACAACTGCCCCAACAACAGCAACAGCAGCAATAACAATTCGTCAAATGATCTTCTGATGGAGCACCGTACCTCTTTGCTGGTTGAATGTGATTCTCGCTGATATCGTTGTTGCACAACATCTTTCTCAGAGAGAAGGGAAGGCAAGTAGTATGTGATCAAGTAGCAGAGAGCACGCCCATCTGCAAATGATGTCGTGAAATCCCCCACAACCACACCAAATGACCCACACACCACCTTCGCAATGCAAACACCACAGCAGAGCCAAAAAGCGTAAGAACATGAAACAACGGCATTGAAGACGTGTGCGAAGTCCATGAACATGCAGGACACACCAGCGACCCATTCCAAATCGACTGGCAAGGGAAATTGGTGAGTGTGGAGTCAGCTCATTACTATGATAGAACAAGTAGGCCAATTGCAGCTACGCAATCAATGGCACCTAGTCATCACAGAGTGAAAGACTTCGCGAGATGCTGGAGCTGAGGGAATCGGTTGACCCTTACACCTGTCTCTTATACACATCTAGATGTGTATAAGAGACAGCCTTTGGCTTGGGCTGGGTGCCGCTCGTCGTCGC